GATCACAGCACCCTTCCCTCCTTTCTTTCCAGCCCCACCCTCACAAATCCCTCCTCCTATTCCTCTTCTCCTCAGAGAAGGAGAGCCCCCTTGGGTACCACCCCTTCCTGGGGCTTCTAGTCCCAGCAGATGTAGGCACAACCTCTCCAACTGAGGCCCAACCAGGCAGTCCAAGTAGGGCATGGGGGAATCCAATGGCAGGAAAGAGAGACTTAGACAGTCCCGATCCACTTGTTAAGGGAAACACATGAACACCAAGGTGTGTATTTGCTACAGATTTGTAGGGGTCTAGGTCCAGCTCCTACATGCTCCCTGGTTGGTGGCCCAGGCTTTGGCCCAGGCTTTTGTGAGTCCCTGTGGTCCCAGGTTAGTTGACTGTGGGTCTTCTTGTGGTGTCCTTGAACCCTTAGACTTGCTCACTTCTATCCCCCAATCTTCTACAAAACTCCTTGAGCTCTGCCTGATGTTTGACTGTGATTCTCTGCATCTGCCTTTATTTATTGCTGAGTGAAGCCTCTCAGGAGACAGTTATGCTGGGTTCCTGGCTGCAAGCATAGCAGAGTATCATTAATAGTGTCAGGGATTGGCTCTCTCACATGGGTTGGGTCTCAAGTTGGGCCAGTCATTGGTTGGTTGTTGCCTCAGTCTCTGCTCCATCTTTATCCCTGCGTATCTTGTAGGCAAGACAAATTTTGGGTTGAAGGTTTTGTGGGTAGATTGATGTCCCCTTCCCTCCTTGGGAAATCCTGCCTGGCTACATGAGGTGTCTATTTCAGTTTCTATATCCCACACTGGTAGGAATCTAAGCTGAAGTCACCCCCATAGACTCTCTTGTATCCTCTCCCATCCTAAGCCTCAAGCTAGTCATCAGAGTTACCCCCTCCCATATTTCCAGTCTCACTCCCAAGTCTCTCTTACTCCCCTCACCCCACACCTGATCACCATCCCTGTTCCTCTCCTCAGCCCCTCTCCTATGCAGTTTCCTCTTTCTGTTCACCTCCAATGACTATTTAGTTTCCACCTTCTGAGTGAGATTCACACATCCTCCCTTGGGCCCTCCTTATTACCCAGGTTTTTTTTTGTTCTGTGGATTGTAGCATGATTATCCTGTACTTCATGGCTAATGTCCACTTGTAAGTGAGTACATTCCTACTGTTACTTATCTTTCTGGCTCTGGTTACCTCACTCAGGATGATAGTCTCAAGTTCCATCCATTTGCCTGCAAAATTCATGTCTTTGTTTTTAGTAGTTGAATAGTATTCCATTGTGTAGATATACCACATTTTCTTTATTCATTCTTCAGTTTAGGGGAATCTAGGTTGTTGCCAGTTTGTGACTATTACAAATAAGGCTTCTATGAACATGGTTGAGCAAGTGTCCCTGTGGTATAGTGGGGCATCTTTTGGGTATATGCCCAGAAGTGACATAGCTGGGTCTTGAGGTAGAGTTATTCCTAGTTTTCTGAGAAACTGCCAAATTGATTTCCAAAATGGTTGTATAAGTTTCCACTCCCACCAGCAATGGAGGGGTGTTTCCCCTCCCTCTACATCCTCTCTAACATGTGCTATTGCTTGAGTTTCTGATCTTAGCCATCCTGATGGGTGTAAGGTGGAATCTCAGGGCTGTTTTGATTTGCATTTCCCTGATGACTAAGGATGTTGAACATTTCTTTAAGAGCTTCTTGGCCATGTGAGATTCCTCTGTTGAGAATTCTCTGTTTAGTTCTGTACCCAATTTTTAATTGGGTTATTTGGGTTGTTGATGTCTAACTTCTTGAGTTCTTTATAAATTTTGGTCCTCTGTCAGACGTAGGGTTGGTGAAGATCCTTTTCCAATCTGTAGGCCGGTTCTTTTGTCCTATTGACAGTGTCATTTGCCTTACAGAAGCTTGGAAATTTCATGAGGTCCCATTTATCAATTGTTGTTCTTAGAGACTGAGCCATTGGTATTCTGTTCAGGAAATTGTCTCCTGTACCTGAATAAGTTCAATGTGCTCCCCACTTTCTGTTCTATTAGATCTAGTGTACCCAACTCTATGTTGAAGCCTTTGATCCAATTGCACTTGAGTATTGTGCAGGGTGAGAGATAAGGATATGTTTGCACTCTGCTACATGCTGACATTCAGTTACACCAGCACCATTTGTTGAAGGTGTTTCTTTTTTTTCTATTGAATGATTTTGGCTCCTTTGCCAAAAATCAGGTGTCCATTGGTGTGTGGGTTTATTTCAGGGTCATTAGTTCGATTCCATTGATCAACCTGTGTGCTCCTATATACCAGTCCCATTCAGTGTTTATCACTACTGCTCTGTAGTACAGCTTGAGGTCAGGGATGGGGAGCCCTCCAGAACTTCTTTTATTGTTCAGGATTGTTTTAGCTCTCCTGTTTTCCCCCATATGAAGTGGAAAATTGCTCTTTCTGTCTATCAGCAGTTAAGTGTAAGGCCTGGGTAGCCCGCTTTGGGTTTACTCTACTTAGGGTCAACTGAGCTTTTTGTGTACTTGTCCTTCAGATCTGGGGTTTTGACATTTTTTCAAGTAACCTCACTGTCCCTTCTTGTCTTCTCCCCAAGCCCTCATCATAGGTATTTGATCAACATAATGGTGTCTCTCAGGCCCTTCAGATTTTGTCTATTTGCATTCATTCTTTATTCTTTTTATTTCTCCCAGCATTTTTAAAGTAATCTTCAGGTTTGCCTGTTGTTTGCGTTCCATGTTGGGATTTCCAGTTGCTCACTCCAGCAGATTTCAGTTTATCACAGTCTCAGCCCCATAACCTATGTGTGCTTCTTTTCCCTAATGTGATTCTCTGTTGACACTCTGTTTCATGTGTGAGTTTCTTCTTTTATCTTTTTTATTCCTTCTTTTTTTCCTTAGCTTTTTGATTAAATTTAAGGCTATTGTCTTAAAATCATTGACTAGAAACTCTAAAGCACGCACCTTGTTAGCTTCTGTGTTTAGAGATTTGTTCTCTTTCTTTGAATTAACTACCTTTTACCAGCTCCTTGAATGCTCATGAGCTTTCTTGGAAATTGAGAATTTGAAAGAACTGTGGACTGTTCAGGTCTGTGGACTGGCCGCATGTTTCAGAAGACCCTCAGTGATCAGCTAAAGTTCAGAGTCTTTTCGAGCCTTTTGGAGCATGCGTTTCTTACAGGTCTATGTGCTTATGGACTTGCAGGTTTTGCACTTCTTGCCATACACTCAACCTTCATTTTTCTAAGAGTCTTCTTGGAGGCTTAAACGTTCTGTTTTATTCCTCAGCCCACTGCCCTCATTCCTGAGCACCCATGAGTCCACAGTTCTCTCATTTCATCCTTGTGCAACGTTATTGCCTTCACCACCTTTCAGCCTTTCCCAGCCTAAAGTTCCAAAGTCCTCCCACCGTCCCCCCAAAAACACATGCACAGGCCTGTCACAGAAGTAGTCCACTCTCTAGTACCAATTTCTGTCTTAGTTAAGGTTTTTATTGCTGTGATAAAACACCATACACATAAACAACTTGGAGAGAAAAGAGTTTATTTGGCTTATACTTCTACATTACAGTCCATCATCAAAGGAAGTCAGGAGAGGAACCTGGAGGCAGGAGCTGATGCAGAGGCCAGTTAAGTACTGCTTACTGGCTTGCTCCTCATGGCCTGCTCAGCCTGCTTTCTAATACCATCCAGGACCACCAGCCCAAGGATGGCACCACCACCCAAAGTGAGCTTGGCCTTCCCATGTCAATCACCAATCAAGAAAATACCTCACAGGCCATTCTGGTGGGAATAATTCTCAACTGATGTTCCCTCCTCGAATGACTCTGGCTTGTCAAGTTAACATAAAACTAGCCAGCATAAAAGGGTAGTGTTAGTGTTTGAAAACTAAAACAGTAGGAGCTCAATCAGAAAAGTGCTTGCCACACAAACATGAGTTCAGATCCCAGAACCCAATGTAAATGCTGGCACAGCCATCTGTAATCCCAGCACTGAGGAAAGAACTGTGGACTGTTCAGGTCTGTGGACTGGCCGCATGTTTCAGAAGACCCTCAGTGATCAGCTAAAGTTCAGAGTCTTTTCGAGCCTTTTGGAGCATGCGTTTCTTACAGGTCTATGTGCTTATGGACTTGCAGGTTTTGCACTTCTTGCCATAGGTCTCAAGCACTCTTTGTACAGCCAGTGTAGCTACTAGGTGAGCCTCGAGTGAAATAATCAATACTGTCTCAAAAAACAAGGTGGAGAGTGACTAAGGGAGATACTTGGTGTCAACTTCTGGCCTCTACATACCGTTGATGTGCACCCCATTGTACATATATATGTACATGCACATGAACACATACACCACACACACAAAGTTAGAACATCATGGTCAACTGTAGAAAAACACTGTACATGTGCAAATATCCACGCACATTTTTGAGTGCCTGCTGAGTTCCTCCAGCTTGGTGTGATCTATATCAGCATCTAACGAATGTACTTTGGGTACTTAGTTCTTCTGTTAGTGAACCTTACCACTAAGAAGCATACATTCTAGCAGAGCTGATTCTGAAAAAAGTGACACACAGGCAGTGGGATTATTATTAATAGCATATTAAAGAGAGCATGTGCTATGGAGGAAAAATGTAAACGTATCAAGAAGAGGAAGAAAGATTCAGCATTGTAGAATTGGGTAGAAGGATCTGGGTGGGCCACACTAAGAAAGGTGCATTCCTGCAGACATTAGCCAAGAGTAGAGGTTATGTCTAGAGGAAAGAACATTCCATCAGAGAGAATAGCAGGCAAACGCCTCGAGGCTAAAGGGGCTGGTGACTGAGAAGATTGATCAGAAATTAAGTCACAGAACTACTAGGGTTGGCATTGTCCAAGTCTTTGTCAGTAGTTAGCTCTTGGGCCTTTCCCTGTGTAACAGTGGGTGCTGTGATGTTTTCTAGAACAGAGTGGAATAATTCGACTTGCATTTTCAAAGGATTGCTCTGGTCATTGTGTAAGTCTAAAGGGAGTTGGTGGTTGTTTCTGCCATCTTAGGTATATTACAGCTAACACTGACACAGAAGACCAGAATTTCCCAGTCCCTAAGGCTCTTAACACACACATAGAGGAACTAAAGTTGGATGTCCTCCTTCAGAAGGTAGACCATTTGCGGATAAATGACTCTAACAAGATGGAGAGTTTTGAGCTACTTTGTGACCACAAAGAGAAGGTAAGAGCTGTGTGGCAGCCACATGGTCACACAGTTTTCAATTTTTATTAAAGTACCATCCTACTCATATTGAAACTACAGTACTGTGTCGCAATTCATAGGGAGAGAATAAGGATGTACTCTTATAAAGTGAGTAACTGTTTAAAATTAAATTTGAGTTACTTGGGTTTATCTAAAGTCACAAAAATAGGAACCAGCCTTATACAGATTTACTTTGATTTTATTAACTTGGATATTTAATGCATGTTTTGTAACATGAAGAATAAGACATTATATCTAGGCATAATATTTTCTCTGGAAAGAATAAAGAATGTTTTTTAAGTTTTCTTTTGTTTTTGTTTTTCAAGACAGGATTTCTCTTGTGTATCCCTGGCTGTCCTGGAACTCGATCTGTGGACCAGGCTGGCCTCGAGCTCACAGAGATCCACTTGCCTCTGCCTCCCGAGTGCTAGGATTAAAGGCATTTACTAAGTTTTCTATGTTGCTTTCAATGTAGTATCTATCAGGATTTAAAGCTATTTCTATCAGTAGTCACTCTACAGTGTTGAATATTGGACTTGAAGAGTTAATCAGTCATCACCATCACTCGAGGAGAAATAAACTCTCCTTTTTGCCCATGAGTAATATAAGCCTATGTTGGCTAGAAGGATTAGCAACTTTAATACTCTGTGCAAACCTGTGAACCCAAACTGATCAACACATGATATACAAATATCCTAAAGATCAGACTATAGTCTATGAAGATGTGCAAGGATGATCTGTCAATAAAAGTTTTAAAAACTTTTAAAATATCTACAATTATAATTGCATCATTTAGGTAAAAATTGTAATGTCTTTTTTTAGTATATTCACTTCAATTTACAAATACTACTTAAAATGCCAAGTAAACTATTTCTTATGCTGATAGTAGATAACTTACAGAGGATAGTAAGAGGACGCCTGGTCCAGGGGTAACGTGCAATAGTAGATAACTTACAGAGGATAGTGAGAGGACGCCTGGTCCAGGGGTAACGTGTAATAGTAGATAACTTACAGAGGATAGTGAGAGGACGCCTGGTCCAGGGGTAATGTGTAATTATATCTGTACAATGTTAAGTGACTTAAGATCCAAATATAACAGTATATTTGGTCATATTTCTTAGCTATAAATATTTGGATTTAAAATGTTAAGTATCTATAGTATAAATTCAGTCATCTGTAACTACCATTGTACCTGCCTAAATTTTTTAAGGTACAATAAAAGCAATTATAGTCAGTCTGGACAAATTAATGCATTAATCTAGTGTGCAATGCTATCTTTCCAGTTTAGTGAAGAAATAGAGTTTCTGTGGCGACTTGCCCGTGCCTATGGAGACATGTATGACCTATCTACAAGTACACAAGAAAAGAAGCATTATGCTAATATTGGTAAGTAATTTGTCAGCACTGGGTGTTCTCGGGTCGCAGCATTTTCTACAATAAGCCATCGGTGGGTTTAATACAAGTGAAATCATCTAAGTTAAAGACTCAATCCATTTCAATATATTTTGATAACAAAAAGCTGTACACAGCTGCAGCATAAAATGGTCTTCTGGGACTAAAGTGTATGTTCCTTTAAAACAATCGAGCTAACAATATTAAAGCCGGGAACTGGAGGGGAAAAGCCGTGATTTCACTTTTTGAGTTTATGATATCACAGGAAACTAAAACACCTGTGCTAGCAATTGAGGTGCAGTAATAACCCAAGGAGGAGTGTGGTCTCCAGCTGTACCCGATCAGTTAAACTCACAGCTCACTTCCTGTGGCATGGAAGGCTAGGAACACACAGAAATAACCTCTCGGTTGTCAGGGATTTCCAAAATGGCAATACCTTAAACTGTCATGTGTACATTTTGCATACATTTGAAACTTTTCACAATAACAATAATCACAATAAAAGCCAAGGAGATTGTCAGGTTGTTGTTGTTGGTTGTTGTATTTATGTTTAATTGGATATCATAATGCTTTCTTGTCAAAGCGCCTGTGTGCCCATCTCTCTGAGCCTCAGGCTTTATTCTCATTTTGTTCCAAAGCTTTCTCTTTTCCAGGCTTTTCTATGATAGTATAAGAAGGAAATAGCAAGTGAGAACTCCTCCCACTCCAGTCTGGCATCTTTATTTCCATGAAGGACATATGTCCAGAGTCTGTAGAAGTCTCTCTGACACTAGATTTCCTTGCTGAGTGTCTCTGCACTTCACGGTTCCTCACTGGAGGAAGATGGAGACTTCCCTCTTGTTCTGTGCTATTCATCTTCACCTTTCCATGGTCAGTTTTCTGTAGCAATACAGTTATCAGACACTATCGACGGTAGAGTTCTAGAAAAGAGATCAATTTCAAAGGAAAGAAAATTTCAACCAGAGCCTGAAGGGATTTATAGTCCTATCTAGTGGGGAAAAAAAATCATATTGATGTGAAAACTCTTTGACACTCAGCAGCAGTATGCATCTCTTTCTCTAGCACTCCTCGTGGGTGTTCTGTTAGCAGATGGGACTAAGAGGCAAAATGCAGGAGGGAAGCCTCTGATGTTGTTGGAAAGGCGATGCTGTTCACATAATAGTGTATAAAGGGACAAATAGAAATGGGATGTTATTTAAGACTACAGGGTGTTATGTTTGTATAAAGAAAAGGAGGAGTCGATAGCAGGAGCTAGAGGTTCATGTGGGGAAGTCTTCTTATGGAGATAACCAGTTCCCACCGGTAAAATTCTCTAGACTCTGTTTTTAAATTGAACAAGAGCTCAAGTGAGTTGTCCTTCTTAGCTTCAACTGTCAACTTGATGAAGCTTAGAGTTGTCTGAGGAGAGATCTCAGATGAGGGTTTACTAGATCAGCTTGGTTTGTGAGCATGTCTGCGGGGCTTGTCCTGGTTGATAATTGGTGTAGGAGAGCCCAGCGCATTGTGGGCGGTGCCAGTCCCTGGGCAGATAGTCCAGGGCTGAACAAGAAAGCTAGACAAGCATGCACATGCAAGCCAGCCATCAGGCAGCATTCCTCCGTGCTTTGGTTTCTGCTGCTCTTCCTTGGCTGTGGGTAAGTTTGTTGGTTAGAAGTAATGTGTGGATGGCAAGCAGGCCTGCACCTAAGTTCTGCTTGAGTTCCTGCCGTGACTTTCCTCAATGACAGTCTGTGATCTATTCCTCCTCTCAGTCCCTTCTGGTCATGGTATTCGTCACAGTGGCAGAATGAAGCTAGTAGATGTACATACACGAGTTGATGTATGAGACAGGAAAACAGGGTAGAGACCTAGCAGTGAGACGGGAAAACA